TAAATGGACACCATGTGGAACAGAGAGGCAGGAAAACCCTCTTTACAGGAAATCAGACTGTAATGCTTGCGTGTCGGTGCCCTTTGAAACAAGAATTTAATTATCCTAATTAAAAAGATTACCTTGTAGAAGGCATTTAGGTAAAAGAGTAGGCAGTTTGTCTTTTTCCTAATGACCTGCATCTCAAAACCAAAAGGGATACTCCTGCTGATGTGTGTTTTATCTTTTAAAGCACAGGCATTAGAGAATGGTTAGTTCAGAAACTAATCTTGATTTTTTGATTCAACTCAGAGAATGAACTCTAAAGCCTTGAACGTGGTTTATTTGGGGGCTTAGGAATAGCTGCCATTTCCCCTTCTTCCCCACTTCTTCCTCTTCTCCACATACTTTTCCTTCTTGAATGCTTCCATCTCCTTATTCTTCCAGGGTCCAATGAGGGTATAAAAATGGTAGGTATGTCTGACCTCCTCTAACTTCATGAGGGGGAGAGAGAATCACCATCAGCATCAGCCCAAAGCTGATTCCTATGAAGCAGAGGTCAGACATATCTCCTCTCTCCAGTTTTTTTAGCAATTCTGATACCAGCCGTTCCTCCCACGGCTCTGTCTACTTCTTTTCTGGGTTTGATAATTCATTGCAATGGCCACACAGAACTCACAGACAATACTCAGGATTATGGGGTTTATTAGGGAAGTAACAGGTTACAATTCAGCATCAGAAATGACTCAATTCTTCAGTCAGGAAAATTTCTCAGCTGTGTCCACAGGCAGGCCTCTCTCTGGCCCTTGGCCCCTCAGCCCCTTGGGCCTCTTGGGCCTCTTGGGCTGGCCTGGCCTCTGCCCTGCTTGAGCAAGTGTTACAAAGCTTTTTAGCTCCACTGATAAGTGCCCAGATGCATCCCATTCCTCCAGTAAGCCTTGGCTCAAAGGCCCTCATCTCTGTAGCTCCATGGGTCAGGGAGTGTAGCTCTGCCAAGTGTCCGGAGGCACCCTACTCTGCCAGCAAGCCTCCTGCCCAAAGGCACTCAGGTTTCTTACTCCATGGGCCAGGAAGCCCACTGCGCCATCTCCTGCCGACTTCTTTGTTCTGCTGTCTCTGCTGCTGCAGTTTCTCTGCTGCTGTTTCTCGCAGTCTCTTGCTGTCTCCGGTGTTATAGCTCTCTCTCTCTCTGTCTCCTGGTTCTAGGAGGTTATCAGTACAGGGATCCTGGGTCCAAAGGATGCGCTCCACTCCTAGCTCTTCTTTCTTGGTGGTAATGAGGTCCTCTCTTTCCACCTCTGGGATGGCTCATTTTAAACCTACTGGGGTGGTAAAACTGACAAACCCCCTTATTAGGGTTCTTTTGGTGGTAGTTATAAGATCATGTCTAGAAAGGCTATATAAAAGCGTTCCATCACGTCACAGAGGGCCAGGCATTCTGGGGTGGCATCTGAAATGCAGACCTACTCTTCATCCAATAAAGGAGTCCCAGGGTGGTGCAAATAGTTAATGCGCTGGGCTACTAACCAAAAGGTTGGAAGTCTGAGTCCACTCAGAGGCACCTTGGAAGAAAGACCTGGGGATCTACTTCCAAAAAAATCAGCCATGGAAACCCTATGTAGCAAAATTCAACTCTGACACACATGGGATCACCATGAGTCGGGTTTACTATGAGTTGAGGTAGCCATGAGTCAGAGTTGACCTGAGGGCAACTGTTCCCCTCCCCACAAATAGAGGCAAAGTTACCTGAGTCTCACTCCATCAGGGCTCAATTCTCAGCCATGGAAATGATAAATTAATCTAAGGGAAAGTGATAATAGGTAATAATGGCAAATATCACCCCCCACCCCCCAAGTGTTTGCATTTAACAGATGACTTTCTGGAGCCAGTGTCTTAACCTAAAGCTGCTGGTGGAAATTTTGCAGTGGATAAGATTTTTTTTTTTTTTTCCAGTAGACAGGTCTCTTTCTGTGACACTCAAATCATAGCTCTCTCCTCCATCTTTGAAAAGGATGGGGCCTGTCTATCTGTTACACTCTGAAGAGAAAGTTATTACTGTAGACAATTTAATCTATCTTTGAAATGCTTGCATTTATTCATCTCATGATTGTAAGTGTGCCAGGGGAGAAGATTTGCTCCTTGCAAGAGAGTCCATCAAGGAAAGAATTTTATTTCCAGAAAATGCCAACTTGGGGATAAAGTATGAGGAACAGAAGCCCATTTTAGACAGTGGATAATTTTCACAGAATGAACATGGGAGAAAAAGGACATTCGGTTGCTAGGAAAATAAAATAAACATAAGCTCCCCACCTCCACTTTGTTTTGCCATTTTGGGGTAGGCTGTGCTTCCCAATCTTGCTGTGGCATGTTTGTCCCTCCCAACCCAGTGGTGACAGACTCACGGCGATGCCTACATGTCTGTCTCACAGGTGTGGGATCTGATACTTGCCAGCTAGCAAGACTTCGGAGGAATCTCCCACAGTGGTTGTAAAGAGAAAAGGAGAGAGATAATTGTTCACTGGAATCAACAATCTACTTCCCCCAACTGGCTAAACATTTGAATAATAGCCTCAGCACTTGCCCTCCTACACCCCCTCCCCTGGCTCCACCACTGTCAGATTCTCTTCCTTTCTCCACAACTGGGAACTCTAGGGAGCAGATTGTTTTGGCTGGAATTAGTCGGGCACAGATGGTACCACCTGCTGCATGTTCCTTACTTCTTATTGGCTTCTCTCTCAGCTCTCTGAGTTTTTGTATTTTTTAGAAGTTCAGGGGAAAGAGAAATGGCTGGGGCCCTTGCTCTTGCCTGATTCTAGCACAGCTGTTTTGAGCAAGCTGGCAACTGTGGGGATTGTGCTGGGACATGTTGATCGCTGAAGGTGCTTCCAGGGTAACGTGCCACAGTGGCATCCTGTTTGCTGTATCTAGCACTTTAGTTTCCAAAATACAAACTTTCTTTGGGCCAAATGTCTTCTGTTTACCAGGCTGACAGATTTGCCTATGACCAGACACAAGGCAGGTGGTCTTGCGAGATACTGAGAAATGAGATTTCTCTTATTCTAAAACATAGGGGCATAGAATGCTACTGTCCATTTTATAAAGGACGAAATTAGTAATTGTTATGGGTTGAATTGTGTCCCCCAAAAATCTATGTCCACTTGGCTAGGCCATGATTCCCGGTATTGTGTGATCATCCACCATTTAGTCATCTGATTTGATTTTCCTATGTGTTATAAATCCTACCTCTATGATGTTAATGAGGCAGGATTAGAGGCAGTTATGTTAATGAGGCAGGACTCAATCTACAAGATTAGGTTGTATCATGAGTCAATATCTTTTGAGATATAAACAAGAAAAGCTAGCAGAGAGATAGGGGGACCTCATACCACCAAGAAAGAAGTTCCAGGAGTGCAATGCATCCTTTGGATCCAAGGTCCCTATACTGAGAAGGTCCTAGACCAGGGGAAGATTGATGACAAGGAACTTCCCCCAGAGCTGACAGAGAGAAAGCCTTCCCCTGGAGCTGGCACCCTGAATTCAGACTTCTAACCTCCCAGACTGTGAGGGAATATATTTCTGTTTGTTAGAGCCATCCACTTGTGATACTTCTGTTATAGCAGTACAGGATACCTAAGACACTAATAGACCACAGTCAGGTTTCCAAGCTCATTTTTGGGCTATTCACTGAGAATAATCATCCAATAATTCTCTAACCTCTCAGATTGATAATCTCAGTTTTCTCACTTATAAAAACGTGAGATTGGACCAAAGGACCTAAGGAGTCCATTTCCCCTAAAATTCTCTGAATTCTATTTAAAAGTTGTTCTTGAGTACTTATTAAGAGATTGCACTATACAACATGACCTAGGAAATATTCTACCTCTCTGACTTCATCTTCCACCCTTTTCTTCCCTAGGATTTTTTGGACTGGCCTCCTTTTTATTTCTCAAGAAGACAAACACATTCCTGCCTCAGATATTTGCACTTGCTGTTCCTTCTCCCTGGGACACTCTCCCCCAGATCTTCACAGGGCTCGCTTTTTATCCTTCAGGGCTCAACTCAAACACTACAGCCCCACATAGGCTCTTCCTAACACCTCCCCCACCCTCACTGAGGTTGCTGGCCCCCACCTCCACCTCATTCCTTATTCCATCACCTTCTTTTATTTTGTACAGAACACTTAATACTATCTGAAATGATATTACATATTTTGTTTTTTGTTTTTTGCCTTCCCCACTAAAATGTGAGTCCCTGAAGGCAGGGATGCTGTCTGTCTACTCACTGCTGTATCCCTAAGACATAAAACAGTACTTCTCACTTAGCATCACTCAACAACATACATATTTGGGTAAGGAATGATGTTATTTGTGCTTAACAAAGGAGACATCATGGTATAGAAGAGAGTATGCTTGGGACTTCCATATTTGTACATTCCCTAAGTTACCCGGCACTCAGTTATTATTTTGATTTGTACATCTCAGATTGTAAGAAACTTGAGGTCAGTAATGTTATCTTGCTCACCTTCGTATTTCTCTTAGTACTTAGTATTGTGCCTTACACATGGTAGGCACTGGGTAAATTGGACCATTATCAGTGTTGTTTTAACTGTTGTTATTTATTAGTATTATTTTTTGTACCACTAGTGGTAATAGAGAAGGAGCCCTGGTGGCGCAGTGGTTAAGCACTTGACTGCTAACCGAAAGGTTGGTGGTTTGAACCCACCAGCCACTCAGAGGGAGAAAAATGTGGCAGTCTGCTTTTGTAAAGTCTTACACCCTTGGAAACCCCATGGGGCGGCAGTTCTACTCTGTCCAATAGGGTCACTGTGAGTCAGAACTGATTCAACGGCATTGATTTTGGTTATTTTTTTGGACTGGTAATAGAAGCATCTATGTCACAACTGGAAACCTGGCTTCTGGTCCCAGCTCTGCTAATACCTATGGGATGACCTGAGCAAGTCTTTTCGTGTCAGAGGATATCTAAGTCTCCTCCGCACTCCAACTTTCTTTGATCTATTTCAGTCTAATCCAATTTTCCCATTGGAGATTTATGAATCTCCTACTGTTCCTGTTACTCTAGTCCACCTGTTGACTAGAGAAAGAATGGTGCTGAGGACTCACACAATGGGCTCAGACTGAAAATGGTGGGTAAAGAGTGGATGGAGACAAAATTTGTCAGTGGGTATAAGCACTGTCAAATGTCTTGGACAGAATTAATGGGTAAAATATATGAACAGTAGTTAGTAATTTTACAAGAGCATTTCTCAAAATGGAGACTGTCTCTGGCTCTCAGTTAAAGGAGACTCTAGTACATAAACAGTTAGGCCTCAAATGATGATGTAACATCTTAAGAGTAATACAAGCTTCCCGGAGCAGATTATTTTCATTATACTCCTGTGTGGTTCTTGTAAATCAGAACGAACTTCTTGCAGGAAGTAGAGAAACTAACTCATTCCTTCTGATGTTTCCATAGTCTTTTGCAGGCATGTTTTACTGTGAAATGTTGGAAAGAGCACTCACCAGTCATTGAGAAGACTGAGGTTCTGGCAGTCTATGTACGAGTTAGCCTAACTGCTTTCTAAATCATGGTGGCATAGAAACAACTAACCAGTCTGTGTTATCTCAATATGTGGACCTCAGTTTCCTTATCCATATTTTTCCATGTATTACATAACATAAGATTTTCTTCCTACCCAATTTATAGGAGAGTTTCATTGATGAATGAAAAGTAGGTGTTTTTTTTCTTTTGACAATTTTAACGTAAACACAAAGTGTGTTATAATTTGATCAATCTATAAAGGAGTTTATAACATAGTTATAGGCCAATCTGCAGGTGAAGACATCTGACTCAAGGGTCATGGCAATTTCTGGAAAAATACTTGTACAAATCATGATACTAACTTTTATTTCTAAAATCAGGGTAGTATATATTAAGCAATTATAATGTTAGAACCCTTTTTGTTCTGATACAATTTTGTTGAATGTCCCATCACCACTGGTGACATGTTCCTTTTCATAGAAATGTCTTTGATAATATAAAAACACTATATATTGCAGAAAAGAAAAAACCAATACGTCTACTTAGATATTAGGCTGAGTATTCCTGAACCTATTCTATCCAGTAATAGTGTTTTATGAGTTAAAACCAATTGGGCAGCGTGGTTAGTACTTCTCTTTTTTCTCCTTTTGCTTAGATGAACCTTTAACCGGAAACCTATGAGCTCACACTTTCTAAGCATGTTCAATAATGAAGTGGTAGACCTCCACAGAATGTTTCGGGGCTGCAGGAAGTGGTTGAGGGTTATTTAATAGTTGGTGTTCTCCCCTTTATGTCTGCACCAATCCCAGCCTGCACTACAGGGTTGGGAAACACTGTTTGTGTTGGAAGTGGTGTCTTTCAGAAGGGATGTAAAAACCAAGGTCTAGGTTGCTTGTGGTCGGTCACTAAATATACCATAAGGTTTTCTGTGAGAGTAAGGATGTTCTTGAGTTTCCTTTCTAAATTTATATTCTTTTATTCATCCATGTTTTTCAAGTAATTTGAAGGCTGCATTCCTCTTTTTCTAAACAAAACTAGAGTGGAGCGTAGCTGTAGTTCTTTGCTCTATATTAAGACTTTTTTAAGGAATGAATAAAAGTGATTCTGCTTTAAGGAAAGGTCATAGACTAGGATCTAAATTCCCTATAAAATGAGTAAAGATCATTTAATATTTTCCCTATTTTGGCATATCTTATAAATTATAAAGATTTTTTTTTTTGTGATACTGTTCTCAGAACCTTCTATTTTTCCAGCATCCACATTTTATTTTGTGCTTTCCATTTGTGTAAAATAGCAAAGTATGGAATGTCGCAAACACACTCCACTCAGACTCCTTCCATCTCTTCAGTAATGTTGTTTTTTAACACTGGCTATTCAGTGTGCACACAGAAACTCAGCAAACCTACACACACACACACACACACACACACACACCACACACACACACATACACACACATACTCTTATCCCCTGTAAGTGGTCAGAACCGATCATAATGCACCAATCTTTCTCTGAATGTTTCCTTATGTTAGATCAGTTCCTCTTGAGTTCTGTGCTTGCCAATGCTAAATTTCCTGCCAGGGTAGTAGTCTATTTTTAACATTTTGGGGGCTTATCCTTCACTCCAGATCTAACAGGCATATTTTGTGGAGTGAAAGAGAGAAAGCTGATTGGGTGCACTTACAAATCAGGATCATCAGGATTTGCAGTTTCTGGAGAATCAGAGATATGAATGAGCAAGACCAATTAGAATACTTAAAAGGTCATTTGTCACCACTTTAATCTTCATGTATTTTTTACTCATCATTTTCTTTGACTAAAATTATTAGAATCTTTGTCATACTCATCTGAAGGCCAAATGGGAACAGCAGTGTTCCTCTTCTATTTTCAATATTTTGGTGCATTTTAACGTGTCATGCTAGATTATGGGTGGTAGGCGACTGTTTTAATAGAGAGAATTTCAGCTTATGGCGTATTCAGCATCATATCATCTCAGTGTTATTTCTCTAATTCCATATTTCAGATACAAATGAAGACTGAAGGATTTATGTCTGTTATTTCATAGCATTTGTTTAATTCAGAGATTAATATGTCATCTTCAACCCTGAAACAGAGGCCCTCTCAAACATCAGACCCAAACAATTGGACACGGCCTACTAGCCCAAAAGGACATGTTGCTAGTTATCTTGATGTTTATTTAAATATTTAGCTCTAAAGGAAGCAATCATTCCTTTATACTTCTTTAAATTTAGTATTGACATTTTTATTTTGGGACAGGAAGTCTTTTTTTTCTTTTTTTTTTTTTAAACATGGATACAGGAAAAGAAAACTCTCCAATAAAAATATTGTCTAAAAAGTTTGTTTTGTCTGTATGATTTACTAAATATGTACAATTTCAATTCACAGCGAAGGTAACAAAGATTTAAACAGCCAACATCACAAATGTCTCAAATTCTAAAAAAAAAAAAATCACTGTGCACAATTAAACAATTTAATTGAATAAAAACCAAAGCTAAGCCTTCAGTCTGACTCTTTTTTATGATGGGCACAAGCCATTTATTTTCTTCATCTTTGTTACATGATGCATATTTCAGTGACTAAAAAAAGCCCCTCCCCATTTTAGTATATTAGATTATGTCAGTACATCCTTAGGAGAGGCATAAATCACCTCTTGGTACACCTATGTGATTCGTGATATGTTCACACATGTCATAATATTTATTAATATATAAAATGATCAGATGAGTCACCTATGATTTTTTGGATGCTTTCAAATGTAGGAATGTTTTGTGCATGTACAGAATTTTTGGAAATTTATGGGCGTGCTAATTAAAATGGTAATAATTTGATCAGTGTCCCCTTGATGTAAGATGTCTAGAAAGAATTATTCTCCTCTTGAAATTTAGATTCCGTATCTCTACCCAATTCAGATTTGTAAAGTTCTCTATTATATGAATCTGAATGTTGCGGTCATTCTGATATAATGATCAAGTGAGTCAACCAATTAATCATTAGAAATAAATGTCATTGAATATAGAATAGTTGAGTTACAGTTAAGGAGGGAGCCATAACTTTGGCTACCCTATAAAATCTATAATAAGGTGTATTCACACATTTATTTTCTCGAAGTAAATTCTTTGGTGTTTTTTTTTCCTTTCCCTCTTTTTTTAGTACTATGATTGATGAACATGCAATGTGAAATTCAAATAATTGCACCGTGCATGTTTATTTGAATAATTGCCCCATTGCACAATCAAATAAATCTGCTGAGTGTGTTTGTTTGAATGTTTTTACATGTACATGGGATCACATACTCAAATAAATGCAGCTGTGTTTATTACAATGTGTGGTGTTCCAGATATACACACGCTTGTTTGCGTGTATATCCAGGACCTTACAGCTCCGAACGGCCTCGTACATCTTGAAGAAAACGTGTGGTTAACAATTTCTCAGTTCAAATCCATGTAAACTTATTATTGGGCAATTTCCTCAAATTTGTGCCTAAGATTTGCTTTCATCAAGGAAGGTTTATATCCTTAGAAAGAAAAGCAACTTTTTTTGAGTTATCTGATTGTGAAATGTATCTAATTAAATTTATTCATATTTATTCACATACAGTTCCTTCTTTTCTCCTTCCTCCAAGCCCTCCCACTCCACCTCTAGCTCAATTCTTGCAAAAGACGATGTGTATTTTGTTTAGTTCTTGCTGAGAAATTCTGATACTCATCTCTCTTCCCAGTTATTTCAAACCTAAGCCTAGAGTGTCATGTGGGGGGAAAAAAAAGATTACATTGATCTGCTAGAATACAAAGGGCTCTTGGAAAAAATGGGCAAGGATATTCAGTTGTTCCAATATTTCATCACCCTCCTCTAGCCCCTCTTCTAGAAAAAGAAGAATTAGAACTAAGAGTGTGGGAAAAATAACTATTTGATAAGGGAATATAGAATATATTTGATATTACTAAAATGCATGACTCTTGATTATGGAGGGGATTTCTTGTTTGCAACCTTAGAAAGAAATCTTAGCATAAGCCAAAAGTTTTTATTCTTCCCAAAAGTTGGAAGATTATCCAGGTCTAATGCACAATAGTGTTAGCTGATAAATGGCATTAAAATACAAAACAAAACAAACTTAGATATGGGATGTTGCAGTGATTGTCACAAACTTACAAGTGTTATCCTGGTATTTTAGACTCAGGTATTCTGAGTCTGGCTATGAAACGAGGTTACAAAAAAAATAACAGAGGAAGGAGTGGTAGAAGCGAGGAGGAGGCATCAGTGCTCCCCCGCGCCCCACACTCTCTTCTTTCCAAGGAGAAAGAATAGGTGGCACATTCGTTGTTTGTTGGTCCTATCTCTTGTGGATTGAGACACAGATACGCCCACGGGCATCAGAGACCTACATTGCTTTAAAGGAGGCCACAGGGATTTATTATACCCAGACAAAATTTAATGGCTTGATATTTTTCAGGTTGAATTTAAT